TATTAAACCAAATATTTCAATAATACAATTTAATGTATTTATATTTATGTTCATCTAAAATTGATACTTTTGTTAAATAATTTAAATAATTATAAAATATTTATTTCAATTGAAACTTAATTAACAGTTAGTTGAAAAGAAAAAAAATATTATTCAATTAACTCAATGACATATGATTGTTCATATTAATATAGAATATTTAATTAACTATTTTAATTTATCAAATATCAGTATTAGACATTAGATGATGAACAAATTTTTAAGAGAGCTTTTATTATGATTTCAAAATGTATTGCATTGTTTCAGTTATGCACAACCGGCTTTCTCTAGCGCCCGGTACATCTTTTTGCTGTTTGTCTTCGAGCGTCTCCTCAGAACACAGTTGGCCTCCTTGCAGTGCTTCTGGCCCATCGTGGGCAGAACACTGAACTTTCCACCGTAGACGTGCCCGTAGTTCCACATAGAACCTACCACCACTATGTAATTAATGTCCACCCATCTCATCGAAAAAGACAGTGAGATCTGCGTCGTAAGAAAGTACACTGCTAATTAATGTACGCCGACTCCTCGAAAAGAAAATAATTGATGTGAGACCTGCCTCGAATTGACGTCTGACAAATGTATAGTATATAATCGGGAAAGAACTTAGCAGTGGTCCCACATTTATGCTAATACAAAACCATGAATTGTTCCTAGGGTTAAATGCAAAAAACCCCTCCCATAAACTATATACCCAGTTGCAGTTTACCCCCTAAACTATAATAATAGATATTTTATCCCCTTGAATGCTATATTTAGACAAATCTACCCCTTTTATTTTAAGCATTGTTATTTTTCTTTTTTCCCTATTATTTTCTTTTTAAATTTTTTCTTTTTTTCTTTAAACATTATTTAAATAAGTAGACTAGATTAGTCAAAATTTGTTTATTTCTTAATTTCGTATGTCAATATTTTATAAAAAAAAAATCTATGGAATACAAGATTTTTTGCCAAATATTTGAAGTCAATGTCATTTAAGAAATTGAACTTTTCAAATATATAATAACAAAATAGAGAAATTGATTAACCAATTATTAGTAGTATGAATAACAAAAAAAAAATTATTGTTTGTTCTTATTTTTTATTTCACTACAAATAACAATTGCTAACTTTTCTTTTTATGTGATATATAATATGTTACTTTTATTATAAGTAGTTGCGTAACTGTGAATTCTTAATTAGTTTATAAGTACTTGCATTGTTGAATTACTAGATTAATACACTTTATAATATAAGCTACATATATTTTGTAATAACAAAGAGTTTATGACAAAATATTAAGAATAAATTTAACAAATAAACAAATTAAAAAAATAGTTTAAAAAAATTAAAATTTTTTATGTAAGTCTTTTCACATCGAAGAGAGACGTTGGCTAGTTCCACGGGAGAAGGAGAAACATAAAGAAAATAAAAGGAAAAAATGAAAAAAGCTAATAGAGAAGAAAAAAAGAAAGGATTTAAAATAGTAGAAGTAGTGTTGTCCAAACATATCATTCAAGAGGGCAAATTGCCTATTATTATAGTTTAGAGGGTAAACTGCAACTGAGTATATAGTTTGTGAGGGGGGTTTTTTGCATTTAACCCTTGTTCCTAATCAACTTCCTTGAACCCAGTAATTGTCTTTTAGGTAAATTTATGAAATTATTTTAAATTCTGGATGTGTGTATTTTTTTCGGTGTGTTGAAAAACTTCCTTGAATCCAGTCTCACAGCAGCCTGAAAATACCAGCACTGGCTAGCCCTTACTGTTAATTGGTTGGTCAAAGCTGAATTGATCATGGGGAAGTGCGTACAAGGAAAGAGGCTAGACGCTCATCCTGGATCTCTTCTCCTCTTGCATACTACTAATAACTTTTTGTTATCAACACTCTTATCTTTATTTTATTGGCTGCCGACAGTTTTATCTTCTTCCTCGTTGGCCTGATTGAATTCACCTTATCTTCTTGGAATCTATCTTTTGTATTGTCCGAGACCCCTTTTAAATTATACATGCATTCTGTTTGGATGATAAATTATTTAAAATATTTTTATTGTAACATTATTTGTGATATGATGTATGTGAAATAAAAAGATAATTAAAAAAATAAAAAAATATATTAAAAATTATAATAATAATATCAATCAATAAATTTTGGTAAATAATCCTTTGTTGAAACAAACCGTCATTTCATTAGGTCTTGCGCCCATGATCCATCAAACGGAAACGGGTGTGAGATGAAGCCAGCCGATGCTGCTGCGTCTGTGTCCTTTTGTCTTGTTTTGAGAAAGTTTACGTACTGTTGAACCATTTCTGGAACCTTCAACGTGTGCTTTAAAAAATCATTTACAGCACCAAATTTTGTTGATATATTCATTTAGCGGTTGGAAGATTCATCTTTTAACGTGCTATTGAAAGATTCTTTGAAAGGTCCATTTGAAGCCTCTTTAATATCTCATTTTAACTTTTCTCTAGTTTGCAGAAATTTTAGGGATAATTTCATTAACTTACCTTGAGATTTTTGACAATTTCACTCAACTCCTCTGAAGTTTCAATAATTACATAGCCCTTCCTTGATTCAATCAAATTACTAAAATGTTTTCCACTTAATATTTATTTCATAAAGGAGCATTTAAAGTCAAAAAATACTTCTTATTATTCTACTTGTCATTTCCTAATCTTAAAGAACAATTTCCATCAATTTTCTAATTTTCATCTCTTCCCCCCTCCCTCCATCCCTCTTTCATACTTTGATCGCTTTTCTCTTACAATCGTTTTTTCCTCTTATCAAATACCATGCTCCATTGTTAACAGTCACACCACTATCAATTTTTTACCATCTTCAAAATTTATTTGTACTTTTTTGTTTTTCTGTCTCTTTCTTACTATAAAAATTTTAACAGTCACACCACTATCAATTTTTTACCATCTCCAAAATTTATTTGTACTTTTTTGTTTTTCTGTCTCTTTCTTACTATAAAAATTTTAGACCCTTTCTCTTTCTTTTTTTTTTTAAAATAGCTTTACTCTTTACAAATGTTAGCCAATTGAAGTTACCAAATTAACAAGGTGCGGACTATAGATTTTATTGTCAAACTAGGGGAAGATGAAAAAGGTGGCAGTGATATAGAAAAAAAAAATGAAATTGAGAGTTGGAAGATAAAGAAATGACTATTATGTTTGTTAAGCAAAGTCTAGCAATAAAAAAATTCATTGGTTTTCTCTTTTATTTACCTATTGATTGTGGTTTTACTATGAAGGTAGAATTTTGTCTCTATTTCTAACAGTGCTAGAGTAATAATGAATCATGTTTTTAGGGACATGGGGGCATTTTTTGGTTTAGTATTAGTAGTGGTAGTAGTGAGTTGCATTAGTCATGAATTAATAAGTAATGAATTTTGAAATAAGTTGGAGTCGTTGGACTATATTTGCTTTAGTGAGTATGCCCGTACAAAAAGTTAAAGATTAAAACCTTTTTTTATTTTGTTTTGTTCTCTAGAAAAAGGGTATTTTAGGATATTTATGAAAAAAATATCGGCTATTGGGTCTATATTGTTACATAACCTTAAAAGCGAGGAAGGTTTTAAAACTTGAGGAGAGCTCTCTGTAATTATTAGAAACCTCAAAGGAGGCTTCTCAAATTATCCCGAAATTTTAATACATTTTTCTTGGGAACAGTAGTATTTTAATGAGATTCCTGTCAACCATTGATTTTGAATTCTCCTAACAAATTCAAGGTGCTGGCTAGTTTTTTAACTCCAACAAAATATTCAAGAAACCTTGAATTCTAAATGAAATACAATTATATGCATTTCTACTGTTTTATAAGTACGTTATATCCATCCAAGAATTACTAGAAGGCTTTATTTATTGAGGTCAATGGACACTTGTCCTGGAATAGGTTAATCACTCCTCCTCTTAGATATTTTTCCTTAGAAAAAAAAAAAAAAAAAGAATCCACAGTCACTTTCAGCTTTGTAGTTACTCATATAACTTGACAAAATGAAGCATCGTGCCAATGAGTTCTGCTAACTTGTGCTTTTGGAACCAAAATGACTCATTTATAATGAAAATTTAAGCGAGTTATTGACAAGTTAAAAAACCACGCGTTGATAGTGATACGTTCAATAATTTCACATATTAAACTCTTAGATTACACCTTTTTTTTTTTTTTTGGTAAAAGGTTTCGATAGATTCAACTGATCAACATTATTAATCAAGATATATATCAAATCATAGGTTGCTTATAAGGATTTTTACATGTCGTTTACCAACACAATGTACACATCGACCGTGAAATTCAAACACAAGACTTTTTGTGCTAAAGTGACCGCTTCTTCTAACTAAGTTAACTTGTGTTGGATTAGATTACATGCAAGATGCATTGACAAATTGATGGGGTAAAGACTTAACTAGATGGAACATAATAAAGTAACATAACATTATTGTTCTTTCCTTAAAAAATTGTAACTCATTCTTTAGTCTTCTAAAGTAGTTTCTAACGTAATAGGGGTCTGAAAAATTTGTAATCTTGCATGTGCAGTTGAGAGTAAACTGGAATAGTTTGGGGGAAAATTCTCCGTGCTGATTTGTTGATGATATGATGGAATAGAATGAAAGTCGGCAACTGGTATTGTACAGTGAAATAGACAAATCGTAGTGTTACTTTTATTGTTCAAGCTACACGTAACTACCTCACCAATCAATTCATCACCGGGAAAAAAAAAAAGACAGAGTAGAAAGAAACGGAGCTTGGGAAGAAAGCCGAACGACACTCTGTTGTCTTCAATATTAAAAATTCTCCACGTGATAAGGTGTGTTTGCATTACAATTTTTTTTTAAATATATTTTTAATTATTTTTTTTAATTCACATATATTAAATTACTACAATACCTTTTTTACAAAAAATTAAAAAAAATGCAATCCAAACAATTCTTAAATTATGGACCACTCTGTTGTCTTCAGTACTTCACGTGGTCTACAGGTGAGACCGCAGACCGTACGAACCTACACAAGTTTTTGCCCTATGCTACAAATCCACATCCTACACCCTTGATGGGAGCAGAAGAGATCGTAGTTTTCTCAATACACTGAAAAAGCATCGACCTAGCTCTGCCAAATCCGTCTAGTTGAATTTCATGGATAACCCAAAGTTGCAAAAACTTCCTGTCGTCAACTTCGGCCAAGAGAATTTGCAGCATGGCACAAAAAGCTGGTCCTTGGCACGCAACGAAGTCCGCCACGCTCTTGAAGAGTACGGTTGCTTTCTTGCTGTGTATGATGCAGTTTCTTTCAAGTTGAGGGATTCAGTATTTTCTGCGCTAGAAAAGCTATTCGATCTTCCCGTGGAAACAAAAAAGAAGAACACTTCTGATACGCTTTTCTTTGGTTATATTTGCGACGACCGTGACCCATCTATTCGTGAGAACATGGGAATCGAAAATTCAACCGACATAGAAGAAGTCAAGAAATTCTCCAAGCTCATGTGGCCCCAAGGAAATGATGACAATTTCAGGTACAACTTGATTTATTTATCCTCATCTCATCAATTCTTGCTAGTAAATCCGACAATTAATTAGCGCGCGGTGTATTGAAATGATCCCAAGTGAATTGAACCTTCAATTTGTTTCCTTTTATGAATAATTGTTAGTGGGATCATCCATGAATGTGCAAATCTGTTATCGGAGTTGGAACAAGTGGTGATTAGAATGGTTTTCGAAAGCTATGGGGTAGAGAAGCTGAAGTGTGATTCTCACATAGATTCAATCATGTACGTGCTTCGGTTCAACAACTACAAGGCGCCTGGAGTAGACGAGAAAACCGTGATTGCTCCCCCTCATACTGATAAGTGCCTCATCTCAATTCTTGCTCCGAGTCAAGTTAACGGATTGGAGGTAAACTTGAAGGATGAGCAGTGGATCCCCGTTGACTTCTTGCCTTCATCATTTGTTGTTATGGCAGGAGATGCATTAATGGTAGGTTACATCCTCTGCCTTTTCTTAAATTTATTAATAACTAAGAGTTGGAATTTTTACGATAGGAATCCACTCCAGTGAGTTTTAAGGTATCAGTAGTGTTCATGGTTTCTCATCGAATTCCAACAACCAGTGGTAAATGGTAAGGGTTTCATATGAATTAATACTGCTTGATTTGTAAATGGTAAGTTGAAGTTTGATATGGTTGTTCCTTTTCTCAAATCTATATATATATATATATATATATATATATATATATACATATATATATATATTGTCTCTAGAAAGCGTCTTTATTTTTTAAAAACAGAAATCTGGATAATCAATCTAGTTTTGCAGGCATGGAGCAACGACAGAATACGACCTTGTCTTCATCGAGTTCATATGAACGCGAACGCAAGAAGATCCTCAGTGTTGATGACCTCTTACCACAAGGGGGTCGTGCACATTCCTCAGGAGTTGATTGATGAGGAAAATCCACAGCGCTATAAGCCATTTGATCACCTGGAATACCATAATTTCTTAAAGAAAGAATTGCAAACTGGGCAGCACCTTCAGTGTGACGCCATCAAGAGATATTGTGGCGTTTGAATTGAAGTACCATGATCCTTTAAGAGGGGTGGATCTCTTGTGCATATGGCTGCGGATCATGATAGAGCATGCATATCCATCTTAGATAAACTATCCACCAATCATTTTCTCTCTTCATTAACCTTCCAGTATTTGAATACCAGGTATCAATTTCCCTTCAGATCAAGAGAATCTTTCAGTACAAGTAAATTATATCCGGCCTTAATAAGCCACTAATTCAAGTCCATTAATGGTGAGGCGAACTCTTTTCAGCTTTATTTCTTTCTAAAAACAATACATTTATTTATGTACTGCGTGACGGATTCTTAATTCTTGAGTCCAAGCTTTTTTGTCTTCTTATTTGTCGAGATGGGTGAAAAGCTTTTTGTCTTCTTTTGAGTCGATGTATTTTCTTCTCCCCCATTGTGCCCTCGTTTTTGTAGAAGATGTTAGGGGAGTAGCTTCCTCCGGGATTAATCTATGAAATAATTTATTTTGATGCACTATCTGTTTTATACCAAGAAGAAATAAATAAATAAATAAATAAATTTTCATTCTAGTAGAAGAAAGAAATTCAATGTTCGTTGGTTGGGTCAAAGAAACTGAACAAAGCAAGGGCCTAGAGACGCAGTCCAAAGTCTGAACTGGTCTGTCTATTTCATCTGTGTTGTTTACTCCCTTTTCTTAGGCTTTGTGGTCAGCCCCTTTAGCCAGAAAGGAGGCATACCCATTGCAATAAAACATTTGTAAATTAATACTTGATAAATTAACAACTATTGGTGTTGAAAATCATTTTCAGTTTAGGCCCGATTTAAGTTGGGAGACCTATTCAGTCTATTTGATCTCTGGTTTTTTACTCCCTTTCTTAGGCCCAATGGCCGGTCCCTTTAGCTAGAAAAGGGACATACACATTGCACTAAAATCTCTATAAATTAATAATCTTTATTAAATAGTAATTTTTTCGGTCCTAACTTGAACTAAATTAATAATTTGGATGAAATGATAAGATAATTTTTTTTTGAAAACCTTACATAATCCTTTGGTCCCATTTATATCATAAATTAATAATTCTCTAAAATTACCTATCATATTTTCTTAAAATGAGTTCCCTAAAAATTAGATCTACCGGAATCTCATTTCTAATTTTTCTTATCAGATCTAAAACTTTTGAATTTTTTTAGTATAAGTGGAAAGTTTCGAACCCCCAACTTCTCACATATACACTCTCCCTTGTACAATTCAACACATCTCTCCTCCTAAAAATGTTGGACTTGAATTCTTATTTTACATTAAAAAATTATGGAGTTACTCATGCTTTGATAGTTTGATATGAGTTAAGTAAGTACATTGAAGACATTAATATAAATAAATTAAGCAAAAAATCTGAATAGCCCTCAAAATAGGGAAAATCGTTCAAAATGTCTCTCATATTTTGTAAAATGCTTTTTTTCATCCTTTACTTTTAAAAGTGTAATTTTATGTTCCTTACAAATTTATATTGGTCAAATTTGGTTTCTACCTAAGTTTTTGACTAGTTTTTTGCCGGAATTCATCATGTGCCTTGCATGTGATCATTTTTAAGGGCAAAATTGTCAAATTAAATTTTATATAATCCGATCTGCAGTTCCTTATATTTCACAAAATGAATTGTTTCATCCCTCACATTCCACAAAATGAATTTTTTCATCCCTCATTGACCATGTGTACGAATAATTTTTTTTAAAAACCATGTATATATCTATTTGATTTCACCCGAATAGTACGAATAGCATGTAATATATCTCTATTTCATTTCATCTAAACTAACAAATTGTAGTTGTACATATGCTATTCAATAGATATATACATGAGTTTAAATCTAACAATTTTGTTTTAAACCTATATCTATTTGATTTACCATGTGAATCTCTTTAACATTTGAGGATTTTTCTTTTTTAGTAATAATTCATTTATTGAGTTGTGTAATAAGATTATTTAATTAATCGGTCCTAATTTGAATTCTATAATCATATTAACAAATTGCAGTTTCAATCTAAAATTTCTACTCACCACCTTTAAGACAAATAATTGAATTTCTTGTCTTGTGATTGTTTTAAAATTTGAAAGTATCAATCACTTACTTTTTTTTATCATACTTTTCCTTTGTTTATTTTTTTGTCCAAATTTAATTCGATATAAACACTTACTAACGTTTAGAATTAAATGTCTTTTTTATTTTCAATTTTGAGTAAAAAAAAATGAACATGAGTGAAAAACTAACAATTTTTTTTAAATTTATATATATCTATTTAATTTCACATAAACAGTACGTTCAGACGAAATCAAATAGAGATATATTACATGCTATTTGTATTGTTCAGGTGAAATCAAATAGATATATACATCAGTTTAAAACAAAAAAAAGTTATCGGACACATAATTAATGAGGAATGAAAAATTTATTTTGTGAAATGTAAGGGATGAAAAAATCCATTTTGTAAACTGTGAGGAATGAAACAATTCATTTTGTGAAATGTGAGAGACGAAAAAAATTATTTTGTGAAATGTGAGGGACTATGGATCAAATTATGTAAATTTGATTTGACAATTTTACCCTTCAAACATGATAACGTGCAAGGCACGTGGTAGATTCTAACAAAAAATTAGTCCGAAACTTTGATAGGGACCAAAATTGATTAATATGAATTTGTAAGGGATGTAAAAATATACTTTAAAAAATGAGGGACGAAAATAGTTATTTTGCAAAATGTGAGAGACGTTTTAAACCATTTTCCGCACAAAATATATAGTTGATTAACCTTTAACCTCCAATTATTAAGTACATACATTTATCCCTCGAACTCATAAAATAGGTATACTTTTTACATTTTTGGCTAGTGATAATTTCAGAAACCTCCCCTAAACTTTGTGATAATATCATTCGACATTCTTAAAATTTCAAAAATATCACTTAACTCTATCACAACATACAAATTGATAAAACTGTATTCACTACTTTAACAATTTTTAGATAAAACATTATAGAAGAAAAATTTTTTAGGCAAAATATGTAAATCTTATATCATAGTCAATTTGGTAAAAAAATTCAATATAAGACAATACAAAACGGTAGAATTTGGAGAAAAATGTCTCTCTCTTATTATTAAATGATTATTTCAAGAATTTTTTAATAATATGAGGGTGAGATTGTTGCAAAGGTATAGTTTCATGGCAGGTTAGTGATATTTTTGAAACTTTAGAGATCATAAATAATATTAACATAAATTTCAAGAGAGGTTTCTAAAATTATCTCTAGCCAAAGGGGTGGGAATATACCATTTTACAAGTTTAAGGAGCAAAGACATGTACTTAATAGTTAGAGAGTTAAAAGTTGACTAACTTAATGTTTGATGACCATCCAGATATTTTACCCAATTAAATTATACTTACAAATCAAATAAATATGGATTAATTTATAATCCTCAGACTTTTAACTCTATTTATGAATAAAAAAATTTATATTTTTTATAAAATAAAATAAAATTTAGTTGCTTAAATAGGTGTTTCTTTGAATTGTAGGTACACTCGACAGATTAATAAATTTATTAATTTATTGATTATTTAATACCTCTTTAAATTAATAAAATTTATGGTTCCAAAATTATTAATTTATAAAGTTTTACTGTACATCTGAATCCACTGGCGCTTGTATTTTAAGTTTACAACATAAAAATCATTAGCTTTGAATCATATATTATAGAGTAGAAAAGTATGTTGAAGTACGTGCTCCATTTGGATTAACTGTTTTTGGGGTTGTTTTTAAAAAAAGCACTGTAGCATTTCATTTTTGAAATACAAGTCCGTTTGGATTAGTTGTTTTTGGGGTTGTTTTTCAAAAACTATATGAAAAACTTTTACTGTAGATGTTTTGTGGATTATGTTTAGAGGTATTTTTAGAACATATTTTTGAGTATTTTTATAATTTATAATTTTTATAATTTTATATTTATATACATTTATGCATTTTTAATACATTTATAAATATTAATAAATAAATATATTTATATAAAAATATATAAATGTATTATATTATATATAATACGTACATAATATAAATATATTTATAAATGTATAAATGTATAAATTATAAATGAATATTATATAAATGTATAAATTATAAATTATAATTTATAATTTTTATATTTTTATATAAATATACATTTATACATTTATAATACATTTATAAATAAATATATTTATATAAAAATATATAAATGTATTGTAAATGTATTATATTATATATAATACATAATATAAATATATATTATAAATGTACATTAATATATATATTATGTATAAATGTACATTTATATAAATGTATAATATACATAATATATAATATACTATATTATATATAATTTATATAATATATAATATTTATATAAATATATTATAAATATATTATAAATATATAAAAAATATTTTTACAATAAAATAAAATATTTATAATATGCATAAATAAATATATAAATATATAATATACATTAATATTAATTATAAATATTATAATATTACAAATATGGTGTTTATATAATATTTCAATTTGTAATATTTATTGTATATTTCATTATAAAAATATTTATATAATATATAATATATAAATATATAATATATAATATTTAATTTATATAATATACATAATATTGTACATATATAATATAATATACATAATATAATATATTATACATAATATACATTTATACATTATTACATATTATATATATTATACATAACATTATTATACATTATTATACACAATAATGTACATAATAATATTATACATTAATAATGTATATATTATAATATAATGTACATAATATATTATGTATAAATATTTATACATTTATGTATACAATATTATATATTATGTATATTATATTATATTATGTATAATATACAATATTATTTATAACATTAATGTATATAAATATATATATAATATATAAATATATAAATATATAATTTTCATTTTGTATATTTCAATTTATATTAATAATAGATATATATAATATACATAATTGAAATATACAAATTGAAATATACATATGGAGTTGTTTTTGAAATAATGTTTGGATAAGGTGTTTCTGGAGTTATTTTGGAAATACACATTTACTGTAGCATTTGGAATGTGAAAAATAGTTTTTCAAAAACAGAAACAAAAACAAGGAATCCAAACGGACCCAATGTTTGTCCTATCATAAATGCAATCTTTTAGTTTAAAGACGTGTATATTAATAATTTAAAGAGGATATCGAACACATTTAGGATATGTTAGCTTAATTATGTCGAGAGAGAGAGAGAGAGAGAGATAAAAAATCATGATTAGTGTTCAAAACAAAAGAAAAATAATAATTGTTGTGCCACGATTTTTTTTCCTTTGTATTAAGCATGGAAAGAGAGGGTAGAATAATATGCATTTCTACTTATATCCAAGAATTTCTAGAAGGCCTTATTTATGGAGGTTCACGGGCCCCTGCCTTGGAATAGGCTAATCTGTTCTCCTCCAATATATATTAGCATCCGCGAGGATCATTAGTGGGAAAGAAGTGAACGACTTTTACCTATTAAGTGTGTCTAGGAAGACTTAAGAAAACGTCAGTCATCTTTAATCCTAAGTCAATTACTTCCACTTCTTTGTTAAATTCTGACCATGCGACTGGAAATCAATTCGGAACAAGATGAATGATGCAAAATCTTGAACAAATGAATTGATTAACTTGTTTATTTAATTGAAGTCGTGCACCTTTCGTCCATTAACAGGTTTTTTTTTTTTTTTGCCCTTTTCCCTGAGGCGTGGTGCACGTGCATCAGGGCATTTGCTTTCGGAAAGCTCAAATGAGCATCATGCATTTTCTATTTATCGGAAAAAGAATTGTGTTTAGATAGTAAATTATTTGAGATAAATTTTTTGAAAAGAATACTATAATACTGTTTTGATGTAACATATGTGAGATAAAAATGTGGTTAAAAAATATATTGATGATACAGGTAAATAAAATTTGACAAATAATCTACTACCAAAACAAAAGTATTTGGAGGTTGATGCAACTGATGAGATATTTTTTTCCAATCTCAGATAGAAATAGTTCAGCATAAATTATCTAAACTCACCAATTGCCTCCTCCAACTAGAAAATACAACTTAGGGATAATTTTAGAAACCTCTCCTGAGGTTTCTGATAATTTCACTGAGCTCTCTTGACATTTGAAAAATTACACTTACCTCCCTTGATTGATAGTTTTAATAACAAAATCTTAAAATAATATTGACTTGGTCAATTTTTAAAATGAATACCCAAAATGCTCTTGTGTAATGAGTTTTAATTTATTTTTCTATACGATTATAAGATTATCTAGTATAATTATAAGGAAAAGGTGCCAAATTTTTCATGTTCATACCTACTATTTGATAAATAACTATAATAATAATTTTATCACTATGATAGGATACTTTTGATGGTACTTTATTATGGATAAAGATTTATAAGATAGAAAAGAAAATGTTGAAATAATTCATTTAGAATTTGTGAATTTTTTGGGTAGTAGAATTATCATAATTTGGTAGTAATTTTGGACAATTTCTTTTTGATTTATTGTTAATTTTAGTACCAAAAATAGAAAATAATCAGCAAAAACATTGGATTACATATAAAATTAAATAGTCAAAAAAATCACTAGTTCGACATTTGGTTACAATAGAAACTAAAAACAATAGTGATAGTTCTATGGTTTTATTGGTAAAAAATAAAAGAAAGGAATAAGAAGGAAAAAGAATGAAAAAATAATTTTAAAACTCATTCTAAATATAGACATAACAAATAAGGGAATTTTATTAAAATATTTATGGATAAAATTGTTATTTTAAATGATGAGAGGGGTATGTGTAATTTTTTAAATTTTAAGACAGCTCAAGAAAATTATTAAGAACCTTAGGAGAGGTTTCTGAAATTATCCCTACAACTATCACATGTTGACTGACCGCTAAGCAAGATTGGTAGCCTCACGGGCACTCAAAATATCTATATAGTCTGTAAATAGCCAATTGTCATAAGACAATTGTCAAACTGCTAATGGATGTACATTCCACACCTACCTCATTGAAAAAGAAAGAACGGGACCAGCAGTAGGCCCATAAAGAACTTACCAGTACCATGCAATTGGTCAACGTACACCTACCCCGTTGAAAAAGAAAGAATGAGGGCGGCCTCTCTCGAATTGACGTCTGACAAATGTATTATTTGGAGAAGAACTTAGCAGTACTCCCGCGTTTACGCTAATACAAATGAATTGTTTCTAATACAAACGAATCATATTGCACGCAAACAGGTCGTCGTTCATCAACATTGAGGTCGAATTGAATTCGAAGTTAAAGATATTCATCTGTTGGCTTGTGAGTCGATTTCGATTTGATTATATATATATTTTAATTTTTTATTTTAATAATAAAATTATATATATTTATAATATTTTATTATTTATTAAGAAAAAAAATTTTATTTATTTTTTAAAAATAAAATAATTACCTTTTATTTTTTTAAACTCAAATTCGAATTCACACTCGACGTAAATTTAAATCGAGTTCGAGTTCGAACTTACATGTTGAACTCATCGAACTCGAATTCAAATTCAAACTTCATAAAAATAATTTAAGATTTAATATGATTAAATCAAAACTCAATTCGATTCGAATTATTTGCACCATAATTCCTAACCAACTTCTTTGTCATTGTTTAGCCTCTCGGCTCTTCAAATCTTTGAATCCAATCTCACAACAGCATGAAAATACCAGCGCTCGCTATGCCTTATTGGTTAATTGGTCAAAGCTAAATTGAGCACAGGGTTACGTGTCAAATATCTCGACGGCCGTACCTCTCTCTCTAACACAGTGTTAAGAAAGGCGGCGTACCAACCACATCTAAATCTGCTGGTGCTTGTATTTTGAATTCTACAATATAACCCTAAATTTTTTTTTTTTTACAACATAAAGATCACTAGCTTTGAATTACAATTACAGAATACAAAAGCATGTTGAAATACATGCTAAAAATTGTAATTTTTCTGTCTTAAATGCAATATTTTAGTTTGAAGATGTATATTTTAATAATTTAAAGAGAAAATGAGACACGTATAGGATCTGTTAACTTAGGAATGTATCTTGGAATCTATTGAGTATTGTGAATGTGCCCGATATCTTCTATCATCTGAAGTCCTGAGCTGAGGCCAGCCGATGCTACTGCGTCTGTGCGTGCCCTTTTTGTCTTTTTCTGAGAAAGTCTCCGTACTATTGGACCATCTCTAGATCTTCGGTCATACTCTTGGAAAATCATTTAACAATGGCCAAATTTTGCTGATGTATTTCTTTTAGCTGCTGATTCTTTGGAAGTTCCTTTTGAAGCCCCTTTAATATCCCATTTTAACTTTTCTCCGGTTTGCAAAAGTTTTACTAACACATTTTCTTGACAACAGTTCCTGTCAACCATTTGATTGTGAATTCTCTCGCACCAAAGATATTTTGATACATGCAAGTTTTTCAACCTACTGGGTAATTTTGTAACTCCAACAAAATATTCAAGAAACCTTGGATTCTAATTATATGCATTTCTACAGTTTTATAAGTACGTTATATCCGCCCAAGAATTACTAGAAGGCTTTATTTATTGAGGTCAGGGGACCCTTAACCTGGAATAGTTTTTTTTTTTTTTTCCCTTAACCTGGAATAGTTTAATCTCTCCTACATTAACATATTTTTGGTTTCTGCCTAGGATTCGTGCTAACTTAACTAGATGGAACATAATACAGTAATGTTATGTATTCGTGAGTCATCTTTTTGTATGGGTATTGTTCCTTCTGGTTCTTCAAAAAAACACATTTATAATATGCTTTTGGAAACCAAAATGACTCATTCATAATGAAAATTTAAATGAGTTATTAACACGTTAAAAAACGATATGTTAAAAAAAAATGACGTGTATAATTTTACATGTTAAATCTTTGGATTATTATTTTTTTAATAAAATATTTGAATAGATTTGACTCTAATTATCATCATGAATCAAGAGTCAAAACATATCTTGAAATCACAAGTCATTTATAAGGATTTTTATAGATAGCTTATAAATACAGCGTTTACATTGACAATAGAATTTAAATACACGACTTTTTGTAAAAAAGTGAATTCTTTTTACTAATTAAATCAACTTGTGTTGGCTTAGATTACGTGCACGATGCATTGACAAATTAATGGAGTAAATACTTAACTGAATGGAACATAATAAAGTAATCTTATGCATTCGTAGTTCTGCGCCTGAGTCATCTTTTTGTATTGGTATTGTTTATTTTTTTTTTTTTTTTTTTTCCTGTAACGGTAGTTTTTGTATTGATAGGCAAAAGGATATACACTTATACGAGGAAAGACTCAAGTAGTTCTATATAAAAGTGTCAGACATACTGAGAATTGATCCATTCCTCATCTTAAAATATGCCTAAAACATAATCACTAATCAGTTCACATCTATAATCCAATCTCCTATCTAAATAAAAAGAGCATTTCTGGAATAAAGCTCTGAAATTGTTAATATCATCAGTCAAAATAGCCATTTTGATATTCTTGACTATCCCTTCCGCTATCCCTTTCAACAGCTGAGGGCTGCGTATTGTTCCTTTTGGTTCTTCAAAAAAACACGCTCCACGCCCTCGAGTCATACGCTCTAAAGTCTAAATCCACATTCCACGCCCTCGACGGGAGCAAACGAGATCGTATTCTCAATACACTAAGCATCGAGCTAGCGCTGCAAATTCCGTCTTGTTCAATTTCTTCACGCGAGACCGCAGACCGTACGGGCCTGCACAAGTTTTTGCCCTATGCTATAAATCCACGTCCTACACCCTTGATGGGAGCAGAAGAGATAGTAGTTTTCTCAATACACTGAAAAAGCATCGACCTAGCGCTGCAAAATCCGTCTAGTTCAATTTCATGGATAACCCAAAGTTGCAAAAACTTCCTGTCATCAACTTCGGCAAGGAGAATTTGCAGCATGGCACAAATGGCTGGTCCTTCGCACGCAACGAAGTCCGCCACGCTCTTGAAGAGTGCGGTTGCTTTCTTGCTGTGTATGATGCAGTTTCTTTCAAGTTGAGGGATTCAGTATTTTCTGCGCTAGAAAAACTGTTCGATCTTCCCGCGGAAACAAAAAAGAAGAACACTTCTGATAGGGGTTTATTTGGTTATTTTAGCATTGACGGTGACTCATCTAATCATGAGAGCATGGGAATCGAAAATTCAACCGACATAGAAGAAGTCAAGAAATTATCTAAGCTCGTGTGGCCCCGAGGAAATGATGACAATTTCAGGTACAGCTTGATTTATCCTTATCTTATCAATTCTTACTAGTAAATCCAACAATTAATTAGCGCGCAATGCATTGAAATGATTCCAAGTGAATTGAATCTTCAGTTTGTTTTCTTTTATGGATAATTGCTAGTGGGATTATCCATGAATGTGCAAATCTGATGTCGGAGTTGGAAGAAGTGGTGATTAGAATGGTTTACGAAAGCTACGGGGTAGAGAAGCTGAAGTGTGATTCTCACCTAGATTCAAACATGCACTTGCTTCGGTTCAACAGATATATATCGCATGGAGTTGACGAGAAAACCGTCAGTTCTAATGCTCATACTGATAAGACCTTCATCACAATTCTTACTGAGAGTCGAGAAAATGGATTGGAGGTAAAATTGAAGGATGGGCAATGGGTCCCTGTTGATTTCTTGCCTTCATCATTTGTTGTTATGGCAGGAGAAGCAGCAATGGTAAGGTTATATATATCCTCTTACTTTATTAAATTTATTAGCTAAAAGTAGAAATTTTGACAATAAAAATCCACTCGCGTGACTTTTAAGGCATCAGCAGTGTTCATGGGTTCTTATCAGTTTCAACGACTAGTGTGAAGTGGTAAAGGGTTTCACATGAATTTATACTACTTGAAAGATCGATAGTATTAGTAATTGAACCAAATTAGCATGCATGTATTAAGCGTGCAAAGTGTTTAAAGTAAAATTTCAGCTCACGATGTAAATATAAGGGTCATGAGTCTACTTGTTATACGGTGGGAGCAAATCCTCGTAATAGGAAAAGAAAATGCTTACAATAGGCTTTGAATCTGTTTGGAATTACAGTTTGTGCTCCCACTGAATTGTGAAACAATTCTTAGCATCATGGCTGAAGAGAATCAACTATGGAGCAATTCTAACATCATTATTAAGTTGCAAATTGACTTTATTTGGCCCACAACATTTTTTACCTATCATTTGAGTAACTTATTTAGAAGTATTTGCTTAGAGAGATTTTTTGGGTTAATTATTGCCCCAACTGAAAAATATTTTTAGCTCATTGTCTAAAACAAGGTGAATATTTTTGGGTTGGGAGCAAAATTAAATAAATTGAAGAAACATAAAAAATGCTTCTTATTATAATAAACAAAACAGTTGCACACCACAAGAAAGAGGAAAAAGAAAACAAGAATGAGTATGCGATGGCATGTGACGTGAACATGTATATCAATGACCTCATTGAAGTAGCGACAATTGTTCTCTAGTAGAAGAACTTTTATATTTGTTTTCTAAAATAATTTTGATATAGTTATTCTTTTTTGTCCTCTATATTTTTTAATTAATCGATATTTTTTGTCCTCTAGAAGGCGTCTTTATTTTTTAAAACAAAAATTTAGACAATCAAGCCTTTTTTTTGCAGGCCTGGAGCAACAGCAGAATACAACCTTGTTTTCATCGAGTTTTAACGAACGCGAATGCAAAAAGATTATCATTGGGGTTGTTCTCTTTCAATAAGGGGGTCATACACATCCCTCAGGAGTTGATTGATGATGAACATCCACAGCGCTTTAAGTCATTTGATAACCTGGGATTGCTCGATTTCTTTCTCGAAGAAAAGCGAATGGGCCTGCCAACTGATTCTACCACCAAGAAATATTGTGGTCTTTGACTTTTGAAATCTTTCTCAAAATGTCACACACACACACACACACACACACATATACTAGTGAGATGGCCTGCACTATGCACGGGGGGACTAATATTTTCCGTGTTAATCGTGTTTTATTGTGTGGATTTATTAGTATAAATCTCTGTTATTATCCAATGCATGCACATCATTAGGGAATTGTCGTTTTATTAAAGGTTAACAATTATGAAATATATAGAATGCATGAGGACAATAATATATAGATTGCATGAGAGCGCTTATATAGAATGCTTAAGGGCAATGTTATTTTGCATTTGGATAAGGATAATTAGAAAATTATAAAGTAAATGATTCCCAAAAGAGTATTTATCATGGTTGACACAAAAAAGAAGGGACCCTGCAAGCCAATTAAGCACTTAAACCATAGAACTTGACATTGCTAAAAATTAATCACCACTAATTAAGCACGTAACCAAACAAACCCAAATTAAACGACGTGTCAATCTGATCAAAGCAATCAACTTTTTGATCTCAATCTCCGACAATTTATTTTCACATTCAAATGAGAACCCAAAAAAAAACTCCATTATAAAAGAAGCGAAATTAAATTACTCTAAACTGGAAAAAAAAAAGCCAATATTAATTAGCTGAAAATTAAGAAAGTGACCAGCCCTACTCAGCTACTCATATGCATAATAGGAAAAGTAAACTTTATTTTATTTATATACAAATATACTAGAAATTTAAAATAGAAAATGAGACAGTATTATTGTAAAGGGAAAAAGTCTCAATGGCCCTCCAACTTTTGGCCACGTAAAGTTTTAGTCCTTTAATAATTATGAGAAAACTTTTGGTCCTTGATCTAGTAAAAGTACAAATTCTTGACCCTTCTGTCAATTTCAATAGTTATGAGTGACGGAGAACATCATCATGTGCGACGCACGAGAAAATAATAAGGCATTCTTGTCCATGCGAGAGTATTAATCAAGTAAAAATTTGCTTGCTTCTTCTCATATCCACCTTCAATCCCTAGGGATTTGGGAAACGTTATCATTGCATAATTCGATTTGGGACTTTTCAGTTTAAGAATAGTACAAAACAGACAAATTCCTATTGGCACGAGAAAGAGATCATAGTAATGGTTTTCTATCCAACTGAGGTACCTTGTTCTAACATAAAAGAACAAAAATTCTTCTCCGAAAGCAAAAAGAAACAACACATTGAGGATCGCTAAAGGAAATTGAAACAAACTCTTGACATGCACAAACAAATCCAAAGTTGAGTTGAGGAAAAAAAGGAGAGTGATTACTATTACAATCTAATTGGAAGACAAAACTAATGTGGTCTTTGGAGTTGAGGGCGTTGGAGATGGAGATGAGAGAGTTTAGAATGAAGAGAAAAGAAAGGAAAGAGATTGATAAGCATGTTACTGATGATAAGGAGGCAGAACCTTTTTGATTTGAGTGCTGTTGTTGTTAATAGCTGAAACGGTGTGCGGGCTGCTAAGGAGAGGAGGTGGTGGGGTATTTTGGACACATTCAGAGGAAGATACAAATGATTTCCAAGACCGATCAAGATGGAACAGCCCCCTGCTATGGTGAAGGTGAAAAGTCCAATTCTTGTTTCTTGATTTCTGCTCTTTGGTTTACTTTTCTTCCCTTTCCCTTATTAAGAAATGAACTATGAGTGTGTGGTTTGAGTTTTTGGGTAGTTTGCTCTATTGCAACTAGGGATTGAAGATGGACGGGAGAAGCAGCGGCTTTTGGACAAGAATGCCCTTGCAATTTCCTGGTGCATCGCACGTGATGCTATTTTCATTTGCTCATAACTGGTAAAATTAACAGAAGGGCAAAAAAATTGTACTTTTAATAAATTGGGGGTTAAAAATTTTCTCATAATTGTTGGAGGGTTAAAACTTTGCATGGCTAAAAGTTCTAGGGTCACTGAGACTTTTTTCCCTATTGTGAATGGCTGACTAAAATGGAGATTGGAGGAATAAGATGTGCAAGAGTGATAAAGAATAAGAAGCACGAAGACAATGGAGGACAGTAAATAGGACAAAATTGAACAAAAAAAGGGATTAAAAATTTATACATATCTTCAAACAAATACATTTGAAAAAAATATTTATAATTAAACATAAGTTCTATGATTATAGACATACCGAGTTCAAGCATTAAAGAGAATTTAATCCCCATGACACTCATTAAAGTCTATTCAAAAACGTTGAATGCAAATCCTACATAGCTAGGTTTTTTTTTTTTTTTTTTTGGTGGAGAATTGGTGAGCTTTATATAAACAAAATATAAGAATTTACATTGCAACAGTTAACTTTCCCCTCCTATCCTCCCCTACAATTTTAAGAAGATCCCGAAAAGGAAGAGGAGATGGGAGTTTGACTCAAAAATAACTTCATCTATCTTATTGAGATAAACAAAAGAAGTAGCCTAGATGACAAACAAGATGAGGAAAGAGAGAAGAGAGAAGTCATAATAAATTCAGAGTCAAAAACTTGTGGCTGGTTGGCTACAGGAGGGAGTTCCAAACCACTAAAATGGAAAAAGTGGAATGACAAAAGGAGGGTAGAAAGTTGGTTATAATTGTATTATAACTGGCCATTTGGATAATTGTTAAGGCACATAATACCCTAAAATTACAGTAAAACCAGTAGGAGAGGACAAAAAGGACAATAGGAGGATAAAAATTGAAGGAAACACATCTATCCACGGAGAAGAAGAGCAGCTAGAACCGAATGAAACGGCCCAATTGACAAAAAAAAGGGGCCAACCATTTAGCAAGAATTACGGGATAATTGCTTGACAAAAAAAATACTATTCATAGGGCAACTCTACCTTTTATATTATCATATATTGTTATATATATACACATATACACACACCCACTCCCACCCATACATACATACATACTAGGTTTGTATCCCGCACATCGAGTGGAAAATGTTTAATTCTGAGAATAGTCACGTGTGCATATGTTGGATCCTTAATCCGATATTGAACTTATATGTGAAAACTTATGTATTGCAGATTGTCAAATAAGATTAAATTCAATTAAAGTAATCAATTATAGTTTCGATTTTAATGTATTTAATTGGATGTGAGCCTTTAATGTGTAGAAACCTAAGGTAATTTCTATTTCTTTGATAGGTTGAAATAGGAATTCAAACAATAACATGAAAGTTATCTATAAATAGGATTATGGTTCTTAGGTCACATGTATTCTTATTGTTGCAAAATAGCTATTTCCTGATATCCTAGGAAATATACCAAAAAGAAAATAAAGGGCTCTCTCGAGGGACCAGCGAATTCGTGTTGATTTGGAAGGTTAACCTAAAATCTCCAAAGATTCCGCAATTTTGCTATTAATTTATTTCTCAATTATTACCATAATGATTTTGAATTTAATAGGTGATAATTTTTCCTATAAGTCAATATAAACAGCCACCAACAAGTAGTATCAAAGCTAGATATGGTTGATTATTGAGAAACAATTAGAATTTAGTAATTCATAGTTTTTGGGTTTTTAATAAAGAACTATGATTAATTCTGATTTTGTTTGCATGGCCAACGAGTTTTTGTTTCGTGGTTCTGGTCTCGTTCACGATTCCATATTCCTAGGTAGTCCACCATGTAAAAATTAGGGATAATTTCAGAAACCTCCCCTGAGGTTTCTGACAATTTCACTGACCTCCCCTGAGGTTTCCACAATTACACTAACCTCCCTTGAGGTTTCTGATTTTGTAACAAAATCAGCCCATGACCACAAAAGTAAACATAAAAAAGTGTTTTCAGGAAAGAGAGGAAATTTTGTTCCCATAAATGCCCTTAAGGTAGGTGTACAAGTTATATTAGTGAATTAATGAAAACTAATAAAAATCAGAAATAAATAAGAAAAAGTGAGGGGATGGGTATGGGAATCATAAAATTTTACTTATGGATATAAACAATTGGGTAACGCAACCGACCCAATTAACCCATCTACCACCACTCAGGTCATTTCACAAATACATTCATCAGACAAAGCTTTCCTCTTGTCACAAAAATTCAAAGCAATGTGGTACATGTTCATAAGCAAGCAGGTTAAAATCCCGCCTGCATAATAACGTTGAAACCCGCAAGCGGGATTCTGTGTTTTTTCTATTTCAAGGTTAGTTTGCATGCGGGTTAATGTTATATTTGAGCGCGATAGAAAAAATTGGTAATTAGGCGCTTTGGGCATTATAAGTAAATATTTAAATTAATGGCAGTTTTATTACACCAATATTATTGTATTATCATTATTATGATTATTGTATTATTTCTTATGCAAATATAACATTTAATTATTTAAATTTGATTTTATTTTTACAATTTATAAAATTTTATCACTTATATAATATTTTTAAAACCCTAATACATCTAAATTTGATTTTATTTTTCAAATTTATAAGATTTTTATTTAAAAAAATGGGATACGGATAAGATATCCGGTTGGTTCGATTTGCATAGGTGCATATGAGAATATCCGAATACTCTTTAAACCCGCATGCGGGTTTAAGGAGATTATGGCAACTCTCTGACACACTAGTTACCCGTCCAACTTGTGTGTATTAAAATATATTTAAATATTATATTTCATATTTTTGTTATTTAGAGTTTAACAAAACATTAATATTAGGTAGATTTGAGGGATATGCATAATTTTGCATATTTGTAGGAATATTAGAAAATGGAAAATTTGGGTAAATTCCCAAATTTTGGAGGTAAGGTGTAATCCAAGAACTAAAACAGTCATTTATAAAACCTTAACAGTAATAAGGTGCAAACCAAAACTGCAATCCAAGAGTAATATCATTACAAATTTCATAACCATATATTAAATAAATAGAAATGCAATCCAATACTATCCAAAACACCATCTGCCTTATCATATTTTAGTCCTATAATAACACAAAATGTCTTGGGTATAATAGTAATTTTGCATTATATGATGTCAGCAATTGGGTCCCAAGTTCTGCCAGGGGAGGTCAGTGTAATTGTGGAAACCTCAGGGGAGGTCAGTGAAATTGTCAGAAACCTCAGGGGAGGTTTCTGAAATTATCCCTAAAAATTATGATAAGTTGGCACATGTTTCAGGAATCAAGTTGATTGTTTAATTTGATTATATCACATGAATACAGAACTTGAATGGGACAAGTCATGATATGACATTCATGTTCACTGATTGTTC